CTTACAATTTGTATATTTTCACTCACAAATAATAAAAATTATAGGTTTTGAGGGCTAGCATGGGCTACTGAAGTGTAAAGCCCCCTACGTTAAGTCGACTAGCAAAATTTGTTAAACTGCGTTTAAGGGACGATAAGATTTTTAATGTAAACATGGAATTTTATTTATCTATTTATTCATTTATTTGGGGGGATTGATACAAATCTAGGTGTTTTAGACCAGTGCATGTGCATTTAAATATTCAAATGACAGGGATCACTAATAAGGTCGTAATAATTTAACTGTAAGCATGATAGTTTGTTAATATCCAATTTATAATTATAACCTTAATTAGCTCTAATGCAATAGGCCGTGGCCAAACAGTTGGGTTAACAGGGTTAAGAAATAACTAGATATTTGTTGTGTGAAATATATTATCCCTTAACAGACCCACAGATTGTGGACAAAGCAGGACAATTTCTATATGGTTCTTGATGAGGAGACAACAGAAGAGGGCAGAATGAAAAAACGGTTTATAACTTTCTTGAAAAGTGCGGTTACGGATAATCCGCCTTCCGCCGGAGCCGAGGCTTCATCTTCTGCGCCACCTTCAAACACGCATGCAAAACTAGCCATCTTCTCCCCAAACAGATTTCAAAAGTCTCTTGAAGACCACATATTATTTATTCAAGGCCATCTTATTCCTTGTCTACATGCCTTGATTAACGGCCAACATTCTTACTCTATTAATGGGGAGAGCTTCCTTTTATCGAAAGTTGGGGTAAAGCAAGCAGAAAAAAAGTTCTCAAACACTAAGGATTTTAAATGGGTCCTTGATGGCAGGGAATGTAAGCCGGTGGATAATGATCTGTACAAAGTTCACCTGAGAGGGAATTCATCGGATCATCTGCTTCTGTTCAGGAAGCAAAGTTATTCGCGTATCCCAATAGTTTACATTTTGATAGGAGTATTTGGCCACGCTGAACTCGGTACAAGAGATGGATACAGTAAACAGTCTAAAACCCCAGTTAACAAAATGGGGATGACTCCTAAAGAGCTTGCTGGGAGAGAATTGAGGGCAATAATGTCCGAATTTAACATTGACAAAAGCACCTGCCAAATGAATATTTGATTGTTGAATACGCAATACCTGAAAGGCAGCCCCGGGCGTAAATCCTGTTAAACCCTTTTTCCCAGAAATATAAACTCAGCAGAAAATTAGTCAAAGACATACAAAATCCTGCGCCTCAACTGCTAAATATGGATGTTCTTTACTCATGAACGGCAACAGTCATTAGTAAATCACTTTGATTTTTCACATTTTCTAAATCAATGAACAGAGGACAAATGCGATTAATTGTCTTTGACTTCAGCTCTTAGGTATCCGCATTATAAAAATATGAAAAATATAATTTTTAATTAAAAAAAGATGCCCATGCTTTACTGAGATGCATGCAGGAACCTGCAGCTTCATGTATCAAAATTGAATAAATGTTTTTAAAAAACACCTACAACGATTTTTGACTTTAAATAACAATTCATAATATGTAAAGAATGTAATTGACAAAAGACAAAATACATCAGCACTCTTTTACACTCTCTCCCTCTCTCTCTCACTCTCTGTCTTTTTTCTTTCGCACACGCGTGCCATTATTAATTCAGATTTCGTTAGATAGAGTAAGTTTACATGTAATAATGTCCCATTCCGTGCAATTGTTTTTTATGTTATTTTAGTTTGAACCACATAGAGGCACCTCGAGAGAAGTACAACTAACAGAAATTAACTTGGTGGAGCTTCCCCAACCCACCAAAAATAAATTCCAATATGCCACCACCCACGATAAACCATGAATAATCTAATATGCACTCAGCTGGCACAGGGTAGATTTTGATAGCCTCCTGGCTTTTGACAACCTCACCTGATCTGCTTCGGGGTTATCATTAAGTGTAACTATTGAGAACTTTATGTTAACAATTCTTTCTAGTACAGGTAAGACCTTGATAGCGTCCTGTTTATTGAGAACATCACCTGATCTAGCTGTTTCGGTGTTAACATTAAGGGCACTGTCGAGCCATCTCTTATTATGTCCATGCTTTATATTAACAATTCTTGCATTTACTGCCACCTGATCTGGTAATTATTAACAATTCTTGCAGTTACTGCCACCTTGTCTGGNGAGTAGGTAAATGTCCTCACTTCGGTGGGACATATACTAAAATTGGAACGATACAGAGAAGATTAGCATGGCCCCTGCGCAAGGATGACACGCAAATTCGTGAAGCGTTCCATATTTTTTTCCCACTGAGAAAATGCGTTGTGTCAAAAATCCCAAAATTAGCACTTTTAAGGACGAAAAACTACATTTAAGTCATAGTTTCTTTTAGAAAAGGAAATATTTGTTTGTTTTATGGATTTCACAAAAGCGTTTGATTGATTATTATGCTTTATTGATTGTACAAAAGCGTTTGATTATGTATTTCGTCTTTTTTCCTTAGAAAAATACATTTCGTCAGAACCTCATATCTTTGTACATTTAAGAAGGGAAAAGTGCACTTAAATCACATATTCTTGGGGGGATGGAGCTGTTTATTTGTCATTTATGGAATTCAGAAAGTTATATTATTAATTTTTTAAAAATAATATTGATTGTAAAATGCGTTTGATAACGTTTTTTTTTAATATTTTGTTTTGGTTTGAAACACAAAACTGAAGGACAAAGAAAAATCTTAACCACATTATGTTAGAGAAGGCACTAGTCTCTCTTAGCCAAGTGTGAATGAAAAAAATATTGAAGCAGGGCTTATTTGAGATATTGGGCCGTAAAAGTGAATGCGCACCTTTGATTTTTGTGAAAAGAAAGTACTTAAGTTTACCACAATAGAGTATAAAGATCATCAAAGAAGGGTTAAAAAAGAAACAGAACTTTCACATGGTCAAGCTTAATTTTCTATTTGGTATGTCATTCTACAGATATTGGTAGAATTTCGTATAATTATTAATATTAGATATACTGTTGATATTTTGGTTGGAGTTTAACATTTATGTAACCGCTGAGGGGTGAAAGCCTCGTGTACTTCCACCTATTTTGCTGTGTCACGCTTTCACACAGAGAGAGTACAGAAGTAAATTGAAGTGGTGTAAAAGGAAGAAACATGGGTAAAGAGAAAAGAAAAAAATTCTGGAAAACGTGCTGGAGAACCCAAGTGATCAGTGAAACACGTCAAAATAATATGACTGGAGCGGATACTGCCAAGAATCAAGCATCGTCTTTCCACTATAAAATAAGGGGACACACTATTTAAGGCTGTACTTAAATTTGCGTCCATGTACTACATGTAGCTATTTGCACCAGGAAGTACCTCCTTGTACAGTTATTAACTTAAATTATCTAAAAAGTATAGAATAAATACTACTGGTATGTAGCTACTGATGTCGAGGATTACTACCGACTTCAGGCTGGAAAAGAAATGGATGGCTGAATGGAGTCCAAACTAAAATGAAGCATTCAGACCCATTAAAGAAAAGACGCTACACTAGGAGACATCTCCTAGAAATTTTAGAGCAACACAAAGTTCATGAAATGTACTCGAAAGTCTTTTTGCGAGAGGATAAGGAACACTCCCTAGTACTCAGCTACTAGTAGCAGTAGTAATATTCAGACATGCTTAGTGGAATCTGCCTACAAAACACAATTTTAGCATGTAAATTGTATACGAAATAAGAAAGAAAACCCCAGCCTGAAACGACAAGATGTACAGACCACTCTCAACTCGATACTCTCAAGAAAACGACAAGGAAAACAGCCCAAAGTCAATTATTCTCGAGGTGAAAGGAGAAATTTAGCTCTACTCGGAAATTACGGAGAAAATGGAATAATTGAGGAAAATTGCGTACAGTGGACGTGCAAGCTCTGCGCGTCGAATGCTAAAGTTTTTTAGTCTCTCAACCTCATTTAAAGACAAATCCACAAAGATACAGGTCGTTGCACTGTACAAACAAAACTGTAACCAAGGGCAGGATAACAGACATGGAGAAGGCTAGCTAAACTATCGCTAACTATCTCAGACTCAACGAAAGGTAAATAATACAGGTGACAGTGGCAACCAAAGCAACGACCCTCATAATGAGGAAAAGCATGCAGGCCTTGGTAAAAAGAGTGGAGCTCCATATTAATGACGCTGCCAGCGAGAAAAAGATAAGAGACCTGGAAGAGACAATAAGAAACTACACCTCCAGCTTAACAAAAGGCCGGCAGATACACGAGATAACAGCAGCGAGACAACCTCGAGGACACCAGGTAACTTTCCCAATTATAGCCTAGAGGTGTCGTTGTTCAGGTAGGACCACCCCGAGGGTATGAATTAGGCAATTGTCTCCCACCTCACCAGGTGCACACAATGCAGGAGTCCCTATACTAGGAAACTACGGAAGAAGACGAAGGCCAAAGCGCAAACCGAGCCTCAATTTCACACAAATAATAGAGATGGGTAACATGCATGAACAACCAGGTGCTAGCTATGTGAATGAAGTAGTTTTCATATCAAGCATTTAAAATGTGAAAGGACAAAAATGTGGTAGTCTCTGCGTAACATCTAGCCGATCTATGTAAGTGTCCAACATGAGGTTTAATAATTTTGCCCGTTATCCGAGAATTCCCTTCCCTCAATGTCCCCCTTGTTTGCAGAACTAAGAAAGCTCATCAATAATGATTTTTTTCGTTGAAAATTTTAACTTTATACTGCAGCCGTATTCCCTTTGCTCCGTTATTTCCGAGTAGAGCTAAATTTCTCCTTTCACCTCGAGAATAATTGACTTTTGGCTGTGTTTTCCTTGTTGTTTTCTTGAGAGTATCGAGTTGAGAGTGGTCCGTACACCCTGTCGTTTCAGGCTGGAGTTTTCTTTCTAATTTCGTATACAATTTACCGGCTAAAATTGTGTTTTGTAGGCAGATTCTACTGTGCATGTCTGAATATTACTTCTACTACTAGTACCTGACTGAGTACTAGGGAGTATTCCTTAGCCTAAACGCAAAAAGATTTTCGTGAACATTTCATGAACTTTATTGTGTTTCTGTAAAATGTCTATGAGATGTCTCCAAGTGTACATCTTTTTTTTTAATGATGGGTCTGCATATTTTATATTAGTTTAGACTCCATTCAGCCATCCATTTCTTTTCCGGTCTGTGGTGAAGTTGGTAATAATCCTCGACTATCAGTAGCTACCTACCAGTTGTATTTAATCTATATCTTTTATATAATTTAAGTTAATAACTGCATGTGGCTTTGACACATCTGAACTTGTCAAAGATGAAGGAACGACAATTTGGTGTAATTAGAAGTACTACGAAGATAATTGCTGGAAACGGGAAAATGTTACTAAATTATACCAAGTACAATAGATTACATGAATAACAACAACGAAAAATCGAAAAGAGTAGTATTTTGATCACTTTAGTTATAGATGCAGTAGGTGTCACTGAGCTGTACGTAACACATTACGAGTGCATTGGTGAGCCACTTGTAATACCAATTTATGGATTGATAGCTGTAAAAAAAGTTGACCCATAGGTCTCAACTGAATCGAAACACTTATTGTTTGTAACCTTTACCAAGAAACCTTAACCCAGACATTATACTGAATTTAGAAAAATGAGTCGAATGGGTGATATTACATAGTCATTATTATTGAAAGTAATACAGCAGAGAAAGGTAGACAGAACTGACTTAGAGGTGAGTCATTTACTGGGTGGTTTTTGACCAGGAACAAGTGAAAGTGTATTCAATCTACGAACCATCTGTGAAAGAGTATCTGAAGCACAAAAAGACATTTGCGTATGTTTAATTGACTACACTAAAGCGTTTGATCGAGTCGAGCATTCGAAGATGATAGAATGTTTATCTGGCATTGGGACCTGTAGCTAAACTTCATTGGGAACTGGCCGTAGCCCAAAGAACAGAGGATGGATTAACAACTAAAGTCAAAATGAAGGGGTACGGCAGGATTGTGTGCTACCACCATGTCCGATTTGTATACTGAAAAAAATATTCAGAGAAGTCGAAGATATGGAAGTTGTGAATGTAGGGGAAATCATTGAAAATCTGAGATATTCAGATGATAGAACAAATTCAGACTTACAGGTACGATAGTTTGTAACATCAGTCAATAAAAAAAGAAAACCATACAGATGAAAATGAACATTACAAAAATAAAAGGAATTGTAGTGATCAGAAGAAGCCAGTGCTAGAAGTTAATATCAGTCGCCAAACTTTTGTTTCTCTCGTAACTATCGTTTGCATTATTTCATTGTACTTTCAAAAGTGATTGATTTTACAGGAATACAGTGTGGTGTAGTATGAGGCATTTTCCATGTTATGTGCAATTATTTGTCCTTAATTGAATTTCATTTGTTATGATCATGTTGGAAAAATACGAGAACCCACCTGAGACCACTTAACGTGATTGGTTACATCATGTTCAAAAATATTTTCTATCGTGGCATCACAGAATAAACGGCCCATCACAATGCTTTGGGTATATAGTATCCCCCATTATACACTAAAGATAAACAACAAACCTCCTGGCCTGGAACCAGCTGAAGAGAATTCTCTAGTTCTATCAAAGTCAATGAAGAGCGGCCGATGTAGGCCCTCAAAAGATGCCAGATAAAATATTAACTTCACCATTTCTGTGAATTCCATCTTTTTAGGTCTAAGATTATTATAAATCGATGAAATGAAAAAAGATAAAAGTAATTCTGAATTTTACTACCCAGCATATAAATAACATTATATGCCTACAAACTCGTCCTATCAAATATTATTGTTTTCAGATCAGAGTGATCAATAACAGGACATTTCCATATTTTTGCGTCACCATTAATCAGATGAAAAACATATACATTACTGGGAAGCATGCAGAGTTTTTACTACGCAAAGATACTGTTTTTGAGCTTGGCAGTGGCGGTAACCTTTGTGCGAATTTATATGTGCACGGTTTGCAATGTCATTTAAAAAGTCTGTTGTTAAGGACATTGGGAAGCTATTTTCTAACAAAATTTCGGTATTGTTTGCATAAACTGACTCTTTCACGATATAAATCTTTACGACAGTTATCATGGAGCTAGAAATACCATTTAAACTGTTTTTGTTTACGACATTTCTTGCAATGTTCACAAGACAACAGAAGGTGAAATACACACGTGGTATAGGTACCAAAGACGCCATTTTACCGTCGTCTACATTGAAGAAGGTGACAGCCGCGAGCGCTGTAAGCTGTACATTGCAATGTTCTCAAACTAAAGGATGCCGTTCCTGGAACTACTATAAAACTAGGAACAGAGGTGAGAGCCATAAATAGTATATTATTTCTGTTGTTTTGTAAAATTTGAGTAACATTTTTCTTACAGTGATAGGAAACTCGCCCAATTGAGAGAGACATTTTGTGAAGATATTTCCAGGATAAGCCGTTCTGAAAAATTGCATATACTTTAACTGGGCAATAATGACGATTTACCTAATCAAACGTGATTGTTCCAATTGAATGTCATTCAAAATTCAGTCTCGTTTTTTTCAGAAAATTGTGAACTAAATTCCCTCAAGGCTCTCAACAGTGACATACTAGTACGTCATGACGGCGGGATCTATTATCAGGACGCCAAGGTATGTAGTTTACATTTAAACCACGTTAATTTTTTTAAATCTTTGATGCAGCAGCACAACATGTAAGACAAACCGTTATATTCTTCCCTCAAAAAAAAAAAAATCGTTTTCAGACAATATAGATAAAAGTATAAATAAATAGGATAGGTAGAAAGGTTAGATAAATTAAATATATTTTTATCAGATCGGATATGTAACCTCTTTACATTCTTGAACTGTTTCTATCATATTTTAGGAAGAAATGGATTGCAATGATCTGGGTAAGTTTGTAGCATTTTATTTTTTGTGTGTAGGTAACTATGTAACAAATTGCCGTAAGCTTTTTTATTTTTAATTTGTTTTCTTTGTCTATATTATCTTTGTCTGTGCATTTCCATCTTCATGGTCGAAGGGGCTGGGCTGTTGGTTTATTTTGTCAAGAGATATTAAATGATGGATAATAAAGAACTCGCAACAGTACAGATTATGCTGTTGTAGATGACTTTTAACAAATAAGAGTCCTGAGAGTCTGTGTGTAATATGACAATTACCTGCCCCAAACGTTTCAAATCATCCTCTCTGACTGTTGCATTGTGTTCATCGTCTGCAAAGTTTTTAGGCAGCGCACTCGACTGTCTAAAGACTTACGCGTGCGCACACACGCACTCACACACATGGTATGACAATGAATTTTTCTGTTTATGTTTTAATAGATGGTGCAGGAATGTTGCCAATTAAAATAACAGGCTTTGGAACAAAGGAAGTTTATTGTGACAACGGATGGCTTGTTTTGATGAGAAGATATGACAATACAATGAACTTTAACAGAAACTGGACTGACTATAAGCTCGGTTTTGGGGATCCCCGCCTACAGTTCTGGATGGGCAATGAGGCCCTTCATGCGTTAACCAATCAAGGAAATTACTCCATGCTGGTTGATATGTTGTCCTGCAACGGCAATTATTACTACGTCAAATGGAACCTGTTTAGAATTAAGAACGAAGCAATGAAGTATGCTGTTGACGCCATTACTCTCGAGTCCTACAACACAACGAGCACTGCTGGACTTGATGAAATCCTTGGACTTCCTTTTGGAACCACTGACAACACTGATACAACGTGTGCTGAGCGTCACGGTAGGCAATACTTATTTTATAAAAGGATAATAAACTTGAGGATCAGAGAGGTGATACCGCCTCCTGGTATTGTACCACCAGCTGGAGTAAGAGCATTCGTATGGGAAGGAAAAAGAAGGGGGAGGGGTTGTCTCACTAGTTGACGATCTTTCGCAAACAAAAGCCATTGAATGAATATACGATTGCAACGATCCCCCACTGAGGATACGAAAATTACGTTCTTCCTTGCTCTTTGGCCAACG